GTTTACTTTTGAAACCTCTTAGGCTAGACACCTAGAGTGAAAGTTAGTCAACATGGCTGACTAATGAAAAGAAATGTTTACTGAAGAAAATTTCAAACATCTTCAAATTTCTTACACAAAAGGCGTGTTAATAGTATTTGGATTTTTGCCGACAGGACGGTGAACTGGCCATCTGAATTAACGTCTTTTTGTCCTAACTCTAAAAATAGCATTATCTGATCACATGAATAAGCAGACAAACTTACAAGATGTTGGCGGCTTAATTGACCTTCTTACTTAAGAGCCTTTTGATAATATTTACATTTGGAGGCAGAAATTTTGGGTCAATTGGAAAGAGTTAATTATGTGGAAAACTGCAGTTAAAAAGACACAAAAGTCTACATATGCTTGACTCATACTTTTACCATCCTTTTTAGAAAAAAAGAGAATTTACAGTAATAAATTATCCAAATTCTCACTGACAACAAATAATCAATGAAGTATATTACAGATAATTGTCCCATTACATTTTAAACTTGAGTGATGAAATTCAATGAAATAATTTTCATTCTCATCAAATTTTAAGGAGAAAATCATGTATTTTTCATGAAAATCTACATTAAAAAAAAAGCACTTATGACAATACCTACCAAACATAAATATTTGCACAATATAAATCATGATTTTAAAAAATCCAAAATCATTATTTAGATATCAGAAATGAAAAAAGAAAGAAAAAATAAATATGGAAAAAAAAGTTTGCTCCAAAAACAGGTTACTGTTGTACATTGTATATTAGCTAATGTTAACTCTAGCTACAATATACCCTGCAGACATGTCGAAGTTGACCACCCCTTTCTGAGTAAATATATCAGTATCTGAAATGTGCACTCCCCAAACCCTTGGGTAGATGACATCTGCCCTTAACATGACTGACAGAGAGAGATGACATTTTAACTTCCATTTTATATTACCAGTTCTCAATAGCCACTTCTGTCTAACAAATTGACTGTTAGTTCTCTAAAAGTCTACATTGAAAACAGCCTTCCTGGTCAATGCTGACCATAACTGACCATAGCTGACCTTACAAAAGGGGCAGAGTCGTCAAACTTGATGTCCTACAAAAGTCACAGATGCCAGCTTTTGTATTGTCAAATAGCTAATGTCCTGAGGTGGAATGGATACAATGGTCAGTTTGGCTTTAATGAACTGACCGTCAGTCTATTGTCCAGCCTTGGCATGAGAAGACAAGCAATTTTATGGACAATTTCATCATAAAATTTCTAATTTCAAACTGAATAGAATTAATAATATATCTTGGTGTGGGTATATTAATGAAAATGACTAGGTAATGATGTGGAAAAAGAACACTAACCTTGGGCAAGACAGTCGATGAAAAAACAACGAAAGCCAAGCACAAAACCATCTAACATAGTCAAGGACAGAAGGTGTCAAATTTGAATCTTTTATGAGACCAAAATTACTTCTTCTTTCAAAGAATGGACTTTAGAAAAAAAAGACTTATTGGTAACAAACAAAAAAAAAAAAAAAAGACACCAAAATTACAAACTAACAGATTACTTTTAACACAAGTCAAAAATGATGAAAAAGTTTTGCTTCAAATTACAAACGAATTTTCAAATTCTTCTTAAAATTATTTAATAAAAAATACCTTCATATTTAATTACAGAATTGTTTGCATGTTTTGATTTCTGTTTTCTAACCCTTTTTTCAGTGGAAAAACTTTAAATGAAAACACTGATCTGTAATTTTAGTTGAAACATTACTTTTTTTCTAAATAGAAGCCCAGAAGTTTAACTTCCAATAAAAATATGTTTTTTGTTCTGTAGATATTTTTCTTTCTCCTATGAATAAACTAATAAAGCTATTCACATAATCCCACATACTTATCTCTTCATCAAGATCCTTGTAACACATGACAAAGATTTCGCTTTCACAAAGTGTTCAACTCTTCTTTAATCAATATATAAACAAATAGCAAACAAGCCCGTATTGTTTGTGTAAATAGACGGCCATTTTGTAATAACACTGACAAGGAGAAACTGGCATATTTCAGCCAGACCTCAATACAGAAATATGACCTCTTCTTGAAAATACGGGAGGATAGAAAAATTGTGCAAATCTTGTCGGGTGCTGTTTGATTTTGGAATGTACTTGTAGCAGAAACCAGCTGTTCAAGATCATTTTCTGTCACATGAAAAATACACAGTCCATGTATAGCCTATAAGTGTTTGTTTTGAGGAGATGAGAGGGGGAGATACTGTAGAAAGAGGGGGAGAGGGAGGGGTAAGCAGTGTGCAGATGGCAGGGGGCTCTCCATGGGGTCAAACATATAAAATTATGCCACTGAGAAATGAATTGTACTGAAAATTTAACTGACCCATAGAACTTCTTACAAACACCTAATAAGACTAATTTTAGTTCAGAACAGGACCTGTTTTACCCCATTTGATGGCTACCCCCTCCCCCCTGAAAGAAAACTCCCTGCTCAATCTGACCTGCCCTGGAAAGCTCTTGTAAAGTGGTGGGTCATGTTTTCCTTAGAAACCATAACAAGGTGATGTCGGACTCAATGAGTTCATTAAACACATGATTAGCGTTATCAGACGATTTGTTAGCTCCCAGTTGATGGTCAGCTGATTACTGACCCATCCAATGTTTAGGTACAGGGCACACATCACTTGCACTCTGATGGAGCAAACATTAAAATAATATGACCCGGTTACAGAATTCTGCTGCCTTCATGTGTACTTATTTCCATTTAAATATTCTTGTTACATTTCTAAGCAATGAACCAGAACATTTATCCCAATTCATAGGACCTTAATATCCCACGCCCAAACAAACTACTACCCTGACAAATCAAGCCTGGAGTCCACAAATCAAGTCTGGAGTAGGAAGCTAATAATAAACCAGGAAATCGTCTTGTTTATAGAAAATAACCCAAAAGTTTCATTTATCAAATAAATATTTCATTCCCGGAAATTTTGACCACTAAAAGATGTGATTGGACTTACAAATTTCCAATTAGCATTAATTTAAAATCACTTGTAGCAAATATATGACACATGGGTAAAACATCTATAACAATGAAGTCCACAGTTTTAACTATGATCATTAAGAGGAGTGTCATTCTTAGTTGTATAAATTACTTCTTTTCATATAGAAAGTATCTTCATGAATTATAATTCTGTAAAATGCACTGTCACTTAAATGGTTTTTCAAAGGCAAATTTTGTGGGAGCATTTATATATGACTTTTCCACTAACCTAGAAAATAAAGATATTCTCTAAAATATGAACCACCAAAAGGAAAATAAAAATTCATTTTAGATTTAAATATTTTAAATCCTTTGAAATATAAAAACATAGAGGATATATTATCAAAATAAATTCATTTCTTCATTAATACTATTTCTATACCTCATAACTCAACAGTTATTTCCTGTTAGTCTGAGTTAATTTCACATATAATTAAAACTGATCTTAGGGGAAAAAAATCAACATCATGAACATATAAAACAACAGACTGTTTAAAATACTCAGTAAACAAAATCATTTCTGCAAACAATTGACAATCGTTACAAACATCAAAAAATAACGTTTTCTTTTAATTATCTAACATTAACACAAAGTAAATGCTTCTTGAGTTTATTCATCAATGAGGCAAGCTTGGTATTATCTATTTAAAAAGCCTAAGTTATCAATCACAAACTATAAAATATCGGACAATTGAATGCATCGGTTTTCTATTATGAACGTAAATCTTCCACTAATTCGTTCCTTTCACAGTCCCCTACTGCTGTAATTTTTTTTCTACTGCAGTTTGTAGATAATCACCATTTCCAATTATCCATTTGTATAGGTTAAAAAACAGGGATGGCTATACACACAAAAGATCAAAGCCATTTCAGGAGTGCACCAAGAAGAAAGAAAACAAAAGGCATAATTTGTCCGAACACAATTAGGTCATGTGATTGTGTACAAACAGAATGAGGAAACTATGGTTTCCATGGACCACATTCCGAGCAGACGTCGTGGTCATCCCCGCTACCTGGTAGAGAACAATGCTTCGCCTACTACAAAAAGGCTTCGGTGTAAACCTTTCATGACAGAAATACACTACATGCACTCGACTCGGGCTAGTTCAAAAGGAGTGCAACTTGTTTTTCATACAGCATTTGAAAACTGTTCTACAAAATCCTTTAAGATTTTTGTCTTCTGTGTTTGAAAACATACACATCAAACGCTGATGTCAATTTTTGCATTAAACTGCTTTTAAATGGTTTTGAAGAAGGAAACTTCAAAATAACCAGTTTGTTTAGTGTATTAACTCTAAAACATCTGAATGATGCCACCCACAACCCGATTTAAATTTTGTATTTCAAGATTTAAACATTTCTTTAATGATAATTGCTAGTACATTAAAACAGATTGCATGGACTGTCATCAACTTGACCCTGCAACTAAGCCCAAGGTCACAAACTGGTATGCTGGTGAAACCTTTTAAATAAGCGCATGTCAACCCATACAAGATTCAACAGAGCAATCTTCGAACAACTGTCATGGCTTCCAAGTAAGGAACTAAATGAAATGTATGAAATCAATTAGAGCCTCAAGTATGTTTAATTAGAGAAATCTTCCAAATTTCTTCATATTGACAGCAAAGTCTATTTCTGTTCAATTTAAGAGCACAAATGAATCTTTTCACTGACACTACCAGTATCCCAAAATCCTACATTTCTCATCAAGGGAGGTAAGCACTGTATGTCACATCACAATACTTAAATATGATCAGATTCCAAGAGTTCTTAATTACTACTCATATTTCTTAATTACTACTCATATCAGGGGTAATTACGCAGTAAAATGTACCATATTCATTGACAATAAGCCCACATCACTTGCTATCTAGCTATGTCAGCAAACACAGTTTCCTTGTGGTGTGATATGTCCCCTATCCCTAGGCTTATTGCAAGATAAAATATAGAAATGTCTTACCTTTCCATATCTTTGCGCGTAGGATCCCGTTAACAATGAATGAAAGATGATAATAGTTTCATCTAAATCCCACACAAATACACGTTCCAGGTCTGACTCCGGACCCGGAGAAGGATTCAGTTTTCGACCCGACCGGGGCTTGCTATTTCTGGATCCTACAGCAGAACCAATAAACGGATATTTTCATAAGTTTAACAAAGAAAGCAAAACAGTTTTAATTTAATAAAACCCACAAATGCATGATTATCTACAAATATTTTACCCTTCAAACAAACTTGTACATAAATTTAATCTTTTAATGTGAAAACCTCTGACACATGGTAAAGTGTACTGACATCATAAATACATTTTATTAATAAACAAAAATAAAAAATTTTAGTGTGTATATTACTTTGTTTTATTTCAAATTAATACAAAAGAGCTGTACAATTCTTTATTGTTTTTTTTTTGCCCATGTGTCCGACTTTCACCAAAACTAACATAAACAGATTATTTAAAATTGCTTTTATTCCAAGTTTTGTTATTTCTTCCATTTTTTATCTAGTTTTCCCATTTCGAACCCTAATTCAGGAGCGCATACACTTACAAGGTTATAAAAGCTATGGGGATTTAAGGTGTTCCAATTCTGTTGAAATTCACAAAATGTAAATGTGATTGCTGTGTTTTGATTGTATTTTTTGTAGACCAAGGTAAATCAACATCACATAACAATTCAACATGGAGTTTTATTTACAAATAAGAATAAGAAATAAGAAAAAGTGTACTAATGATTTACAGGGCTGTCTTGTCAACAAACCTTTAATTACTAATCTAAAGCAAAAAACATGATACTTTCCCTAATACCAAACAGAAATGTTTCTTTCTCTTAAAAAAAAATAATTTAATTATAAAATACAATTACATCACTCGTTTTTTCCAACTCAGATAGCTTCATTTTTGAGGTAAACACCATAAATTTGTACTTGATCTATTGATTCAACTCAGTGAGCACTGATACAACAGACATCTTTGATCCCTGGAATTTCTCGTTGTTTGTGTAGAATTTTCATCATTAAAATTGCAATTACAGTATTAGTTAGAAGTACTAAACAAAACTACGAATGCTATGTGCCAGACCAAGATCAATACGCACACCTCCTCTACCTGACGTGCTTCTCAAGGCCACCGTCATACAGGTACACATAATCATCAGTCGATGAAATATTAATATGCGTGCAAAGTATGCTCTATACTCACTGGCTATTCCATTTTCACGAGCTGGCGGGGAGGGACTGGTTATCTGTGCGTATTGGCCGTCTATAGGAAACATAAAATAAATGTTATCAATTTTTCCAACAAATTAAATCCAATGTTTATGGAATGTAAGCTTGGTAAAGGGTGAAAAATGCTTAGTGAAGTAAGAAAGGGTTAAAAATTTTAAAAAATATATATACTAGCTTATGTGGCACTGTGCAGACAAAACAGGGTGTGTGTTGCAACAGCAAGACAAAACTGTGTCTGCAACACAAGATGCATAGCAACAGCAATAAACATCACAGTGACAGCAACAGATAACATAGTAACAGCAACAGACAACACAGTGACAGCAACAGACACCATAGCAACAGCAACACACATCATAATGCAACAGACAACATCAGGATGGCAACACCTAATATGCCAGTGATTGGTATTTCCTAAAATTGCTTGCTTTTAAGGTTAATAATTTGTAAAAAAATTACAGAAAATGCATAAGTTGAATAGGCATTTCAAATTCAATCTAATAAGAAGCTTTCAAATTGTCACATTTCAAATGTCTACCAAAAGTTCTTAAATGTGTGGACAGTATATCCAAGTTTATTCCCTGTATCCCTGCAGGTATCTACTCTTTCTCTAAAACCTATTTGCTGTATCTGTATACTACACAACATCTATTGGGAAAAAAAGTGTTGTAATTGGCAGGGTTACAAAGGTACATTGTCTTCAGCAATCTGCTAAAAATTGACCACTTTAAAAAAGATGAAAAAAAGCCCAACAAACATAACTAAACTGTATAGGTCTAATCCAATGGTATAATATATGACAGGCTTCAAGTCGGTCCCGGATGAGTTGTTGCTTTCTCCATCACTGTGTCAAAAAGCCCTTTTGCGACAATAAATTGATCCAGCCAAACACAATGAGATGATAGCTTGTAATTCCCCGCGATGACATTTGCCGATGACATTTTCGAAGAGCAAATAATAAGTACGGGGAAAGAAAAATATGTAAATACAACTAATCGTGTATTAGTGACAATTTCCGTCTCAAATTTTGTCAGACTAATATATTCAACAGTCACAAAATGTTTTCGGAAGATGTATTAGACATACAGAGAGAAAAAAATAAAGCATGCAACTTCAGGATCTAGCTATGACCCGCTCTAACACGGATTTGTAAACGACATCAGATCAAATGAAGACCTGTGATATCTGGCCCTAAATATAAGCTATGTGTCGGGAGCTTTTTTCTGCAACCAAATCTGAAATTAAATGGTATGGTTGTACCCCTAGCATAAACATGGTCGACTCTACAGTGTGTTTTCTGGTATACAATTACGGTCTGTTTCCCCAATGTTTCTATGTGTTCTGAAACACTATCCATGGAAATTCGCATATAGGATATAGTAATAGTTTGGATGTTAAATGCAGGTTACTCACTTAAAAGTATTAGGTATACGGTTTAAAAGTATCAACTTCATAACCTGACATTCTCACAGGAAACCTCCTACCCCATAATACCCATAATATACCAAATACTAACGTTACCCATAATCCACTGGGGCAGTTTATGACAATGGTTTGCATCAATGAATTATCACTCGATGATGCAAATGCATAAACACAAATGGAGTTCAATGTAATAACATCTGTTCAGAGGGAAACATCAATAAAAAAAACAAAAAAATACTTGAATTAAGTCTTATTTCAAACCATCAATACTATTTTTTTTAAGAAAAGAGAGATTTATGAATAAATAACCAAAGGGATTCGTCTGCATTGAATGGACTTGTCAATAGTTCCAATATGTCACCTGTATCTTGTTACGGGTGTTGCTGATGGAAGATAATGAGTGGTACAGATGTGTGGGTCGCCATGGTCACCATGGTGACTGGGTACGTTCAGGCTAGCCTCTTCATTAATACTCCACTATATTTATTTAATCTGAATATTTCAATAATTGGTCATGAACATATTTTCTTTCAGACACTGATTATATTTATAAAATGTATTTGCAAAATTAAAACTATCACTTTTGAATATCTTGTAAACTTTTTAACCGGCTTTACTAACACTTTTCAAGGGTCACCAAGGAAATAATTCTTTTGGCCATGTTTTTGCATTGTTTAACAAACTTTGAGTTTCATTTGACATTTTTTATATATATAGGGATTTTTCTTGTTTCTAAACACCTCAATTTTAAAATTGATAAAATAAGCACTGAAGTAGTCTGTAAAACTACCCAATCCTAATCATGTTATATTTAAACAGGATTCCAAACATCTGTTTGTAGAATATGAAAGTAAAATATCTCCTCACCAACAAGGAATTCTGCAATCTGTGTCTGTCTTTCTAAATGTCAGAACTTTGGGGTCCTGGCTACTATGCAATTTGTGTTGAGATTTGATGGACAGCCAGTGGTATGTGTTGGTCTGTGAGAAACTATCACACAAGCCGAGGCCAGTGGTATGGAACCCTATGGAAAGTGGTACTTGAGATTTCTATGAGTAATCTTTCAACTCCTAGAAGTGCCTTATCTAACAGGGATAAGGCATCTTTTTTAAGCTTGAAAATTGAGACCAAGTGCTTTGATAAAGCTTTTAACAGAGAGTCTGCAGGTGCAGAAATTTGCATAATTTTAGAATTTGTCAGGCCGTAAAGTCGTCAGGTTACTAGGCGTTTGGGAAAAGTACATCTAAAGAAAGAGTGCTACATGCCCATTCATAAACATGTCCTCAGAATCGGTACAAGTGTACAGCCAAAATCATTCATCTAACCTCAGTTGCTTTGGTAACAGTTGGCATCATTTCTGTAAGTCCAATAGCTGAACATTTTAAAACTTTGACAAACAAAAATCCAAACACACAAAGAAACAAACAAATAATACATCATAAATGCATGAAAAGGAAAGAAAAATATTGCTTCTGTTTTCAAATAATATATGGTCAATATATAACACCTGGGTTCATTAACTTAGATAACGACCTCATCCACCTACACAAACAATTGTTGACTTAAATATTCCATGCTTGTGTATAGATCTCATCTACATTAAGTCAAGATCTCTGATATATTGGGGAGGGACTTTTGAGACAAACAAGGGGTCTGAATTTTCTTCAGAACAAAGAAAAAAAATCCATTTAAAAGTCTTTATCTGTACATGAAAATAATTGTTTTGAAGAAGATACTATCAGAATGTGACTTTCCTATTGTGATGATTTTCCCCTCTTGAATGTATGATGGGTGTGTGGCGTATATACCTGAGGGGGTGCAACAATTGGACAACGGTGTTCCACTACGTGTAATCTTCATGGCATATTTACTGCCCTCCTAAACTTTATCAAACTAGCTCCAATAATGGCCAAAAATGTATCGGCTCAACTTTATGTGTTAGTGAGAGAGTTCTGCATCGTTAACTTCCAAAGGCACACAGGTAGTGGGACATAAGCATGAAATTCACGTCCTGTGCTTTAAAAAAAAAAAAATCTAGTAGATCGTAAAAAAGGAATTTTTATCACAGTCACTAAACAAAAATAACAACACACTGGCAAGCACACTGCAATAAATTGTCCCATATTGTCCCACTGATCCGGCCTAACTGACAATCTCAACATTTTAGTTTTTTTTTTATTTTCAAAACAATTTTCTCCGTCATTCCAGGTAGCATCTAAAACTTCACAATACACAGTGGTCCCGAATTAGAGGACTTAGTCAGATAAATCACGTTAGTCCCCCTCAGGAAGTCAACCATGCTGAAACGCTGGGGTCAAAGTTCGACAATGTTTATGGCAGATAGGGTCGAGAGATGGTTCCCTCCCGGTTACCAAGGACAAAAGGCATGGAGATTATTTTTGTTCTTGTGTTGAAAGCCTGGCGAAGGAAGACAGGAGGAAGACACCCGGAATATGTACCACAAACAAGATAGAATTTGTGATAAAAGGGGAGCGACATGCTTTTTTTGGTCATGTCTGAAACGCTCTGCACAAAAATACTTTTGGTAACATGATGGGCTTTTACAAGTGATTCACAGCAAAATTTAACACAATTTTGTTACTCTTTGCCTACTGTAAACTTTTATAAAAAATTCAGTTATTTAAAAAAACTATTCTTGATGATACAGTTTGGAAAAAAAAAATCTGCAACATAAATTTAAAAGGACTGTTTTGAATACATATACATGTACTGATTCTTTGACTGGTATTCGTATTTTTGACACCTGTTTTTGTAATTCCATTTCTATAACTAAATGTTCCTGGTTACTAAGTTCTCTCAGATACTTGATGTCTAAGCCCTCAGGGATATACAATGTCTAAGCTGTCACTAAGACTGCTGTTAAATCTCTGTTGGGTACTCAGAATCTACTTCATACTTTAAGGTCTAAGCTCTCCCGGAGAAGCACAGTGAAATCCTGAACCTCAGAATTGTTACTTTGCTATTTTTGATACTAATATTTGTGACTTTTAAAGTCCTCTATTGAGTCAGAGACTAAGTTGTGATTGTGACTCGGACCTATTTATTACTAAGTTGTTATTTTGATTACCGCAACCCTCCAGATACGTTAATTCTAAGTTAAGTCTAATTTGTGATGTAAAGTCCTCATTGTGTAAGTCACCAGGCCTTCAGTTTTATTGAGTACTCTTTCATACTGAGATACAAACATTTCTATTTAACAAGAATCAATGGAAAACTATTTTTTTAAATAGGTTTTATTTATCCAACTTACTTCAATATTCACAAAATGTAACAAGAATTTTTTTTCATAATTTTTACGAATAAATTTAAGTTTAAAAAACACAATCGTCTTCCGTGCCATATCTAAGGATAACCTGAATGGTAGAAATGAGTTACGATATAATTGATGGTATATTTAAGCGACCAGGTGTTACCAGACAGCAAGTTACCTAACGACAGGTAGGGACTAGCTTTGTCCATGCCACACTCCCTACTCGGACCCCCTGGGTTGATTTGCTATCCAACAGCTGGTGTAATGTGGGTTGAACAGACTACGATTGTTCTCCAGCCACTTTATCAATATCTATCGATACCTTTTTATTATACATAAATATCTATACATACTTGGTACATAGTCAGTTTTCATTCTATTTCAAGTTTCAAAGAAGTCAAATATTTTTCAGGAAAATATAAGAAGTTGTTTTACAATGAAATGATAAAATTACTGATGTAAAATGTTAGATGGTGAAATAGGTTTCTAGTTATAAGAAAATCCTAATGATTTTATTTACACTTGCTCTAGCAACTGTCAACATGCTGTATTTACTTTAGGTATCACTTGTTTTCAAATTCATTTTTAACAATTCAACAATTTTATGATGAGACACAAGTCAAAAGCGATATCTTGTACAAATGATACTTTTGTTTTCTTTTTTGATTTCTTTTTTTTTTTTAAGGTGCTAATGTTTCTAATTTTCAAAATGATATCACTAATTTAATCATCTTTCCTTTACCTTTCCTATTACATCCACTGAGGGAAAAACTGACACTTGTTTAAAATTTGGGCAAATGAAGATTTCGGTAGCCGGATATTTACTTCCTTTTATGACAACAAAAAGACAAGTCCATGAATAATTCTGTACAGCATACAATGATAATCTTTTCTTAACTTGGAAATATAATTAAATGATAAAAACATAAAATGAATGATAGAAAGATCAACTGACTGACAACAACGACAAAAAATTGTTAAATCGGTTAATAGATTTTGATAATTTTTAAATAAAGATGGACAACAAACAAAATTTCTTTACATATAATGCTGATTTAGAAATGAAAAACAGCAAAAATCTAGACCTCTTAAATGGACTGAAACGCCGAAAATTCAATAAATTTTTTAAGTAAAATCACAAATATCCGAGACCTTGGGAGATCCTACAGTGGACAACAAAGCCAAAATAATGTCTATACATTCAAAATGATTTTGAAAAGAATAGGTTATGTTTTCAATTATAGCAAATCAAAGCTGTCCAATAAACCTCGAGCACTCCAGTTACACCGACAGTGACTTCCATTTGCCTGCTTATCTACAGAAACTATCTGAGTAAGCACCATCCTAAATAACATTTAATTTCTTCTATCTAGGTAAAGGGTAATAGGTGACAATACCAAAGTGTCGGGCGAGAGGGGATCATCATTTATCACTCCGACAAGCTACCCTCAGGTTTGACAAATAACACAGCGACGGTCATTATGAAAACCTTGTCACTTGTAAGTTATTGTCAATTTTAATCGACACGGCTATTCTATGTGTCAAATGGTAAAGTCCTGGTTGATTTGACAAGCTGAATAACAAGGAGTTTTTCATATAGTCCGGCCAATGACCAAAAACATGTACATTTTATGTGTGAAATGGCCATGTCTGACCTCGAAAGAGAAAACTTGGAAATGAGATGTCATGTCAACTAGTGCAAACTACATTTTCTCATAGTTTTTTTCCATTTACACAGGAAAGAACACACTTTGTAACATTAAAAGTATTAACAGCATGTAATTTTCTGTAATAATCTGCTTTTAATGAAAGTAAAAAGGTCCAAAACATTTCACTAATCCTCTTTATTTCTGAATGTTTATCTTGGAACTCTTCAAAGAGGGAGGTATAAAAATTGTTTTGAAATCCCACTAATCCTTTTAACAGTGTTCCAATGGGACATGGGATTTTTTCCTTGAAACAATTCATATAAAGACATTTCTGTAATGATAAGTTCTGGGCCTGTAGACATATTTTTCATGTTTGGTAAAGGCTTAAAATCTCAATTATTTTGTACTGTAGATCAGAAATTATGTAGATATGTAGACTCTGTACCCAATTCTTAATTCTTCCCGGATCGTTCCAGATCTTTGTAGACAATTATTATTACATCTTTATACAGGAAACTGACATTTGACACTTAAAAATAAACTTTTTCTCCTGATTTCAATGTCAATTTCATCGTCTATAAATAAACTATCTACAAAATTGCATGAAATGTCACTGCACAAACTCAAATATCTTCTTTTTTTCTTTCATTTTAAAACTAATTATTCAACATGCTCCAAATATTTCTTGGTTTAAAACTTTTATTGATGTCAACTCACTGTACAAACATGATTTCAATTTCAAATTAATTTATTCATCAAATTTTAAAACCTTTAAATTAACATGAGAATTATTTTCCCCACTAATGGAAATGAATTGCAAAAGAAAAGTTCATTTTGAAAGTTTTGAAAAAGAAGTTTGTTAATTAAGCTCCAATTACCTTCTGTTTTGATTGGTTGGACATCTGGTGGACTAACCAATTGATAGGTCATGGTTGTGCCACCTGTTGTTGATGGGGTGCTGTTTAGCAGGGACGGGTTGGGGTAGTAATATGGATTAGCTGCTCCTGGGACATGGTAGTTGCTGTAGTTGAAACCTTCAATGGACTGGAAGATAAAAAAATATACAAAAGAAATTAACAGTGACTAAGACAGATTTATAAGCATGATCGATGGTTTGGGCTTGTGGAATCAATTCTACAAATCAAATCACAGCATCAAACCAATCAACCGTAAAATAGTATCAGCTTTTTTACCACTGAAATATATTGTATACAAGACTTCCTAGAATAAAACATACAAAATATAGAAGTACTTCTCTAGTACATGACATTCTACAGAGCTGACTTAACTTTAATAAAATTAAAGCCTGATAGCTGTTAAAATCAATCATAAAAAATATAATATTAATCTTTTAACTCTAAAGATAATTTTCTTTATATTTATATACTGTATATGTGAGATTTTTTTATCTTTAATTTCCTTTAAAATGAACAAAGACAAACACTGACAATGAAACTGACATTGATGGATTGAACAGCGCACAAGGTATTCACCTCCAAACCAGTATGTTTTAGTGCTGTCTGTACTCCAGCGCTCATATAATAATACCGCTGTTTTTTGTTATTGAGGAGAAAATGAAATCAGTGTCTGTCTACCAATGTTAGCAAACCCAAGAAAATATATCTTGTCCACATACAGGTGAGTTCAGAAATTCCAGGCAAGAACAACAGGTAAGAAAAATTCTCTTTTAAAAATATCATCGAAATTGACTAGAACAGATAATGCCCAAGATGGATGTTTTAAAAACAGTAAGGGTATTTGTCGGACCAGACCTGTCATACCTTCAGTGTCAAATTGGAAAAAAAATTTACATATTTGCTAGATAATTACTATGGTAACCATGTTTGGGTTTACGATTCCCCCTCATACCTTCTACTCCCTCCTGGACAACTTGATTTGGAACCTTCCATTGACAACAATGGTTTGCATTAGCATTTTTATGGGTCGGCATTAATACCTGTTCCATGAGGATGGTGGCAGATTTAAGAGCAGTTAAAATTACCGTAATGTATCAGATAAATCAGATCATGCCAACACGGTGCATCCTTATATTTAATTACCAGTGTCTTTCATTCCAAATTATCTATCAATGGTTGAGAATTATGAGTCTCCAAAGTAAAAAAAAAATTGTTGCCGTTTCAGAAAATTGAAATTAAAACGGGAAATAAAAATTGCATAAATCCAAACAAGAAATCCAAATATCAACGTTTGACTTAGACAGTGAAGCAAAGTATAGTCAATGTGTTCGCTTACTAAATCTATGACCTATATTATTTAAACACAATATCAAGGTCTTATTCAAGGAATTATGAAATATGGTATGAGATTCATGAAATCAATTACTACGAAACAAACGCTGACGTCAATAAATCAAATATCTCAATATCTTTCTTGTTGATAAGAAGATTGTCAAACACAACATTTGTCACCAAAGGTCACCAAGAACAACAGATAGAATATAAAACATCTGGAGCTCTCTTAAATAATGCCCCACCCCCTTCACCACCTTCCCCCACACACATACAAACTTGTGCCATCCTCAACCTTCTTGCCTGGATGCATTTCCATGAACTTTAATTTCTATGTAAATTAAATTTCATGCTCATAATTCATTCATGTGTATTCTACAAGAATTTTAGTCAATTGTCTCTAAAAATGCCTATGACACCCGTAGGTCAAGTAAAATATGGGACAAAAACAGCTGAGCTTAAATTCCTACTACAACATCCCTACAGAAATCTCTCTGTCCTTCATACAGCTACCAATAAGAGGCCAATAACACCCGCCTGGCTTGACATGCTGAAACCCGAAGCCATCTTCTGATAGTAGAGACAGAAAACTGACATCTCCGAAATATTTAGCGGTAAACCTGTCAGCTTGGACAATGGAGCCTCGAGGAAAAGAGTTTATTTCAATTCTAGGGCTACGCAGGATACTAGAAAGTCCATCCATCGGCTGTGAGTGTCACCTTGGTTTACCTTCGGTTTGTTTATCTTTAATATCAGAGCCCGTTTGATTTAAACCGTGAACCACAAATGTCGGGAGAGGAAATGAAAGTTAAATGCTATCTCTCCTTCCTATCAATTACTGTGATTTTGACTGGTGAAAAGTTTTTGACAGTCTTTGATTATATGTAAAATATTCCTGATCAAATATCTGCCCATTTGTCACTTTCAGATAATAACAGTATATTCTACTTTGATAACATGGTAAAACTATTTCAACATTTATCCTGATGCAAAGATATAATCAGATCACAAACAACTCTTAGACAGGTATTGAAAACAAGTAAACAGTCACCATTATGGAAAAACATCTGATTGATCCAGATGAGATTTCAAACATTTTGAAGACCTTGACAGTAATCAAAAGTTTTTCAGACCTTGACTTGTGGTACAGGACACATTTTGGGGACAGTGATTTCATATTTAAAACAATAATGTGATCTTGGAGTACAGGTAGATGGTAGAAAACTATATGTATTTAAAAATTAGAAATAAGGTAGCATATCTCTTGCAATAAATGCTTAAAAATATTGTGTCTTTTTCCAGTAATAAGCAAAACCTCTACATTGAGTCAGAGATTGTTTTCATCCTGGGCTTATTACAGGATAAATGTGATATCTGCAAGTACTAACACCTAATGCAAAACATCTCACTGATCCACATCAAACTGTAAACATTTTGGAGACCTTAACTAAAAATCCTAGAATAAACCTGAGAGTGCAGATAGACAACATGCTCGTCAACTATTTACGTAAAATATTTGATTGATCCAGAACATAAACATTTTTTAGACAGTGACCACAAACATACAACATTAAACTGACCTGTGAGTTACACGTAGAAGACATACTCCCTGGTGTAGTTGTAAATGGCACTTGTGCAGGATCTGTAATAATGCAGATAAGGCTTTGAACAATCTGAATGGTTTTATATCATTTCATTTAAAAGAAATTTGTCAAAATGTTTTCAGTCTGTTTCATTAGAGCTTAAAAATGACTCCAAAATATTGCAGGTTTTATCTAATGAAAATGATAGAAAATGAATGGAATATTTTTCAATAAAAATTTTATAAAAAAAAAGATACATGCTTTAAGAACATTATATTGAATACTTACAAACATATGAGCCCTGTGGTGATTGTGGAAAGGAGTTATAGCTATTTAGATAACTGGGGCTTACAACTTGACTTCCTGGGGATTTTATTTTTCCAACTGAAAGAGATGAAACATATATTTTTATATATATATAGGAAAATAAAAATATGATATTACAAAAAGGGTTTCTGAAATTATTTCTTGAAGTATGAAGAATGCTCAATTCAGGAGAAATGAGTTTATCTACTTTCAACACCAGGAGAATCTGTCATGGGGAAAATCATCAACATTCATGTCTTGATTTAAACTGCTGTTTTAATCAGTGTGTAATTTCCTGACTTTAATCATGACATCAACATTAATTAGTTTGATATTTAAAAGGCAATGTTCAAGTATATAATGAATGTTAGTAACTGACATTTAAAACTTTTTTTCTAAATAAAAACATGCCTTTTCAATATCAATATAATTTCCTCAAGAGAGCACTGTAAGTAACACATTTCCTTAAGACAATTCTTGTGAAATGTATTCTAGAAAGAATAATGATTAAACTACAATTGAACAAAACTTAATAAAAGGCACTCCTGAAGTTAAGTTATTAAAAAAAAGATATATAGATTTCTATTTGTTTTTAAATCGAAATATGTCACACCACATAATCAAGAATTGTTGCATGTAGTAAACGGGAAAATTTTCAGACGAAATAAATCAAAATAAATTTTAAAGCTATGAAAAGCTATTAAATACACCGAAGGATATCGCAAATATAAAATAGTCATAAATCGTCAAGTTGTCAATCAAATCTGTAATAAGGCAGCCAAGTTATTAATAGATATTGTTATTTATGTTGCAAGAACTGCTATAAACTCTCTCTTGCAATATAAATCAGGCTCCATCCTAACCATGACCAGCTGGTCACTGAACGGCAGACCAGGAGGCTGCCACTCAGGGAGTGGAGGTGGGCTGGAGGTGGGCAAGAGGTGGACGTAGTGGTGGGTTGAGGTTGCCTTTTGGTAGATTTTTTTTGTCCAATGGCTTCAAGCATTAAAAGGATGAATCATTATTCAAAAACTTTTTGTTTTGGTAAAATAAGGAATGGTATATTATATGGGTCACTGGTTCATAGTAGCTGGGTTCCTGATTAAGTAGGCAGGGTATGAACCGATCCCAGAGTAGGTCTGACAGAGTGTGTCCCAGTCTCTGAGTTAGTCTAGCTGGGTCTGCCAGGATATGAACAAGCTCCAGAGCTTTAATTCACTGATGGCTAATTCATAGAGTTGATATCTAATTCACTGCTACTCTGTACCAGAAAGGAAACCTGTAAATATACCTGTGACTGGATGGATATCTTAGTGATCCGCTTCAAAGTAGATATCCAGGTACATTTCTGGTCTGCCCAAAAAAGATCCTCAGAGTTTTTATAATTCTGTCCAAGGCTGGATATCTATCACCTATAGCCTATAACAGGCTGGATATCTATCACCTATAACCTATCACAGACTGGATATCTATCACCTATAGCCTATCACAGACTGGATATCTATCACCTACAACCTATCACAGACTGGATATCTATCATCTATAGCCTATCACAGACTGGATATCTATCACCTACAGCCTATCACAGGCTGGATATCTATCACCTACAGCCTATCACAGGCTGGATATCTATCACCTACAGCCTATCACAGGCTGGATATCTATCACCTATAGCCTATCACAGGCTGGATATCTATCACCTACAGCCTATCACAGGCTGGATATCTATCACCTATAGCCTATCACAGACTGGATATCTATCACCTACAGCCTATCACAGGCTGGATATCTATCACCTATAGCCTATCACAGACTGGATATATATCACCTACAGCCTATCACAGGCTGGATATCTATCACCTACAGCCTATCACAGACTGGATATCTATCACCTATAGCATATCACAGACTGGATATCTATCACCTATAGCCTATCACAGACTGGATATCCATCACCTATAGCCTATCACAGATGGGATATCTATCACCTATAGCCTATGAAAGGCTGGATACCTATCACCTATAGCCTATCACAGGCTGGATATCTATTACCTATAGCCTATCACAGGTTGGATATCTATCACCTATAGTATATCACAGGCTGGATATCTATCACCTATAGCCTATCACAGACTGGATATCTATCACCTATAGCCTATCACAGGCTGGATATCTATCACCTATAGTATATCACAGGCTGGATATCTATCACCTATAGCCTATCACAGGCTGGATATCTATCACCTATAGCCTATGAAAGGATGGATATCTAGGCAACTGGTTGAGACATGGTGACAGATCCTGATATCAAACCTGCAGAAGATTGTGAGTACACTTACTATCAGCTACAGGGTAGTTGGTCATCACACTATATGGTGTCTGGCCAGTCTGTGTGTTGTACAGCGCAGAGTTCTGAAGACTGAATGCACTTGGTGCATTAGGATAGTTGTAAGCTGTGTTCATGGTGGCTGTTGTGGTGGACACAGCTCCCTCTGGTGTTGAAACGGCTCTTGAAAACGTAGCCTCCGTTGTAGCACTACAAAGCAAATATCAATCCAAATACACACTGGTTTTATCTCATATACATATATACAATCTTTGTCACCAGTTGTTTACCTATGTTAGCACTATAAAGCAGCCTTGGTAGTATATGGAGGGAAACTTATATGATCTGTTTCATAAAAAAACAACAGAAAAGGGTGATATAAAATAAACTAGCATTTCATGTAGTAGAAGAGAAAGAAGGTGCATTTTACAGCAAAACAGCATCATATGGAGGTTGGTTCAGTATCAGGAGTTTGAGGTAAATTTTTTTCCCCCAAGTATCTATTTCAAATATTTCTACACAGTTTATTCATCATGTTTTCTTCGAAATTACAATTCACAAAGGCGATAAGATATTTTGTCCTTGTCAAATAAATCGGCTGGTCCCATAATTTTTATTGGCATAAAACGTTAAACTTTTTATTTTGTAGACAAAAGGTAATTTCTTACCTGTTTATGAAATTGGCTAAATTATCTGTATCAAGATCTCCTGTCTCTTTACTGGAGATTTCACCTGTCGAAACAGATAAAAAACAAATACATAAGACACAAAGGAGAACGTGGTGGAGGAGAAATGAGTGAGGGTTGTAAAAATGACATTAACCAAATAGTTCCCAGATGTCTGTTACACGACCAATATATTGGCCTTCTACTAACTCTGTCACAGAGGAGAGGAGGAGGGGAAGGAATGAGCAGGGGGAGAGAGGGGGAGGAATTGAGGGTCAGGGAGGGGAGCACAGTAAGATACCAATAGAACTTTATGATATTTTGTCATTGGGGTAATTTTTCTCCTACCAAAGAAACAGTATGATACTGATCCCTCTACTTTCCAAACAATTCCACAGCCTGTGTTAACTTTAGTTTGTAACCCACCCTAACAAGCCCCAATGTGATACAGTCAAATACTCTCCGCAGAGCACTTCTCCTATTGGGGTCAGACTTGTTGGGGGTCTAACATCCTTATATGACCTTAGATATCAGAGGATGTTCAACTTTGACCAAAGAAAAAGAAAGTAAAGCTTGAAAAGAAAAGATACTATATCGAAGTAGTTAATCCAGGGCCATGGAAATTTTTTTCCAAACTATTTTCAAATTCTTAAGCAGCAGACACAGAAGAAAGAACATTCCTCTCATCAGTGATTTTGTAGTAACTATAAATTTAGTCGTACAAATAAAAAGAGTGTCTTCTACTCTACCCTTAAGTCTGTAGGGATTTTCCACACCTAAGAATAAATCTGCCTAAAACACTAAGTTTGGACAACCGTTTAGATATTTGTATGTAGAACATAAAAACAAAGAACAATTTCAGGGAGTTCTTATTTGACCTTCAATAATCCAGATCAAAGACAGCATTATCTGCCTCCCCACACCAGAGGAACTCTTCTATCGCAAAAGGTAGAAAACTCCCCACATTGGATCAACAGGGCAAAGATTAGGCACCCTACACATCTGCTTATTTTTTTTCCAAAGTCAGAATCTTTTCTTATAGAAAGCTGGGTTTAGATTAGGGAAGAAAGAACAAGTATAGTTTACATGTATATATATATATATATATGTGTGTTTAATTATTACAATAAAAAAATGCTACTTTACAAAAAGGAATGAGTTACTAAAATCTAATCTACAAAAATATTTATAAATTCACAAACACATAAACTAATGTAAAAGCAGAAAACCTGAAAATAGTCTGTAACTAGGGCAAATGATGTGTTACTAAGGAGGTATGAAATGTAACTTAGGAAGTGACATATAACTAAAACGGAAAGGTTTAGGAGGTGAACTAAAGTGAAAAAAGGGGAAAAACAGAAATAAAATATTTTGATGGATGAATAAGCAAGAAAAATAAAGAAAATGTGGAAAAAGGATGCATGATTTGTTGGCACACACAAATAACTAGGGAACATATAGCTAGCGGAAATACCTGGGACAGAGTCCAGGTTTGACCCAGACGATAGCCCTGGACTGGACGCACTAGGCGAGGAGGGTTGCTCCACTACAAAAAACAGACAGTTGCTTTTTAACCCGAGACTTTAGGTATACAGCTGCCTGTCCAAAATATCCTTACATGAAGTGTAAACTCATTAAGATAACCTGAGTCAAGTTTTTTTAGTTAGAAATAACAGCCTTTGTTAGCTAACTGATCAAGAATTTTCTAGTTAGAAAGTAAATCCTTCCTTAGCTAGTCTAGTCAAGAATTTTCTAGTTAGAAAGTAAATCCTTCCTTAGCTAGTCTAGTCAAGAATTTTCTAGTTAGAAAGTAAATCCTTCCTTAGCTAGTCTAGTCAAGAATTTTCTAGTTAGAAAGTAAATCCTTCCTTAGCTAGTCTAGTCAAGAATTTTCTAGTTAGAAAGTAAATCCTTCCTTAGCTAGTCTAGTCAAGAATTTTCTAGTTAGAAAGTAAATCCTTCCTTAGCTAGTCTAGTCAAGAATTTTCTAGTTAGAAAGTAAATCCTTCCTTAGCTAGTCTAGTCAAGAATTTTCTAGTTAGAAAGTAAATCCTTCCTTAGCTAGTCTAGTCAAGAATTTTCTAGTTAGAAAGTAAATCCTTCCTTAGCTAGTCTAGTCAAGAATTTTCTAGTTAGAAAGTAAATCCTTCCTTAGCTAGTCTAGTCAAGAATTTTCTAGTTAGAAAGTAAATCCTTCCTTAGCTAGTCTAGTCAAGAATTTTCTAGTTAGAAAGTAAATCCTTCCTTAGCTAGTCTAGTCAAGAATTTTCTAGTTAGAAAGTAAATCCTTCCTTAGCTAGTCTAGTCAAGAATTTTCTAGTTAGAAAGTAAATCCTTCCTTAGCTAGTCTAGTCAAGAATTTTCTAGTTAGAAAGTAAATCCTTCCTTAGCTAGTCTAGTCAAGAATTTTCTAGTTAGAAAGTAAATCCTTCCTTAGCTAGTCTAGTCAAGAATTTTCTAGTTAGAAAGTAAATCCTTCCTTAGCTAGTCTAGTCAAGAATTTTCTAGTTAGAAAGTAAATCCTTCCTTAGCTAGTCTAGTCAAGAATTTTCTAGTTAGAAAGTAAATCCTTCCTTAGCTAGTCTAGTCAAGAATTTTCTAGTTAGAAAGTAAATCCTTCCTTAGCTAGTCTAGTCAAGAATTTTCTAGTTAGAAAGTAAATCCTTCCTTAGCTAGTCTAGTCAAGAATTTTCTAGTTAGAAAGTAAATCCTTCCTTAGCTAGTCTAGTCAAGAGTTTTCTGTGAAAACATCATTGTTTGCTAACTAGTTAATGTTTTCAGTCAGACAGAATGAATAGCTTTCATTTGATAACAAGTTTACCAGTGAGAAATTAAACCATGTTTGCTAAAAACTCAAAAGTATTTCCACCACTCTTTGAAGGACTGGTTGAACAATTTCAATGCTTCAAACAATCAGTGTTTAGTTTAGGATCTGGGTAACATTACAATCATTGTATACAATAACAAGGAATAAAAGTATATGCAGTGCTATTATCACTTCCCTCACTATCACTCATGGAATTAATTTTACTAATTGTATGTACATCTCATAACATGAAAGTGTTCTAGGAGGAAGAAATATTACATAGAAATTTTCATGCTTTTTCCTAAACAATTTTGAGTTTATATACCATGAAATTTTAAGTCTGCATTTAGCTTGTTCTGATAAAAAAGAAATGAAAAAGAAAAATGATAAATTTATGAGTTTATTTCATTGATAAAATCAAACGAAGCAATTTTATATTTTCCTTGGAAGAAAAAATCCATAAATGATGTTGATTAAATGATAGACCGTGACGAAACGGCTCTACTGCTGTTGAGAGATGGGGAGTTTAAATAATGCGCTCCAACAATTTCTCACAATATCTGTCGATAATATCTTTATATAATTCATTGCTATGCTACATTTCGCGTTTGACACTTTTCAATAAAAGCTGATATAATGACCAGTTAAAAATTCATAAGTTTCCTGTTAAAACCCTGGGGAGTTACAATGGTATACTGAACTAGAAACTTTCGGACAATGGGAAGTTTGGCCATGACACAGTAACTGCTATATGGCGACAAATAGCGATTAGTCAGGTACATCATAACAAAGCCATACCTAGTACACACAAGATTCTACAATGTTCAACAATTACAAGAGAATTGTGTTAAAAGTGAGCATCTTGGGTAATTGTGAATATGACTTTGAAGGAATAACTTCAAAGATTTTAGAAATTTCAGGAATTATAAGGAATTATGTTCCAAGATTAATTATCATCTGGTTACTTGGATATCCAATTCATCCTTCATTAAGCTCACAGGGCTCCTACAGATATTCTCTTATTTAGATTAGGTATAGGTAGGAATACTGAAGGACAATGATTTGGGATTTGTTTGCTGCAAATTAGATAAAAGTATGCTTATTTGTTATCTTGCATGGACTTATTGCCATAAACAAATCTTATGTGGATTAACACTGAAAAGAAAATAGAAACTTGTGCCCTGTCTAAAATGAGGGTGAGTGTCCCATGCCTTGATTGCTTTTTAAAATTTTACAGCATATCATAGTGAGAAAAAAAACATTACCAGAGACAAAATACAATTTAAAAAATAAAAAAAAAACTTTCAAGGAAATTCTGAAAACGTTCCTTTTCCTCACCAAATTGTTTTACATATGGCCATCAGTCTCATTTAATGTTTGTCTTCACCGTCAGCAATCATATTGAATTCAAACACAAGGAAGACCAGAGTGATTTGCAGTGATTGACAACTGCAAGGGATTGTGCATTAAAAAGGAATATTCGATGCAACAGCTGTATCGACTATTACGCAAAATAATTCTTACTTAGGGCTATGCGAAAAATAGTGATAATGTTATTATGGGGGGAAGATGGTGTAACCATTTCTGATAACAAACATGAATTATATTACTGATAGCAGCAAATATTCCAAGAATTACCCTGTATTTAATGCTAATAGACCATACTCGAAATACTGATAAAAATTATTGTACCTGGTGACGCGACGGCTGTGATCACCCAACTGTCAGTACTGGTGAAGACAGCGCCACCTCCAGGCGAGCTGAGTGTGGCTGTGAGGACACCTGGTGGCAGAAAAACAAAAGTCAAAGTCAGATATCAATAAATGGTCATTACAATTAACAGGGGAATACCATACAACGAAAATATTTGTAGGAGGCTAAATTCATATTACACAAACAGCGATCAGTACTGAAAAGTTGACAGATTTCAAAATGAATGACAAATGTACCTATCTGTTAAAATTGGATGGGGCCAGGACTCAAATGGTACCAGACACCTTGAGAGATAAGATAGAGGAAATTCTCAATAATAGCTCTCTAATACACCAGCTTTTCTAATGACAGTTCCAAACAGAGACAACGAAATTAATGCGTATTTATACTGGTAGTTTTTTCCACTGTTTCGCCCTCCCAGTAATAACTTCGGAACATTAAAACCCTCGGCCATTCATTAGCTGACATATATTTCATGAGAGTTCCTTTCAGCCTGGTTGAACATTTAATCATTTTCATACAGGGCGCTACGATGTGACTGGTACTACGGCCGTCGATCGCTGATGACAGCGTTGTCTCTCAATAGAATGACAACTGTGTACAAAAGCTATCCTAATGGATTAGATACAAAGGGTCTTTTTCCGACACTGAAAATGTACAGTGAAGGGGCTGCCAAAGAACTAATCATCACGCTGCGATTGTCCGCATCGATGTGTACCGTAATACACATTTATAGAACCAACAGCAACATTCTCATTACATGAATTTGCCTAGCAGACAGTGACTCAAGCAGTTTCTTCCAAATTAATTAAACCTTTCCCTCTAAAAACTACACAGTTACGAAGTCTCATCGTTGGAAGTCTTAGAAAATACAAATAAATTACTGTCTTTGATTTGCATGTCGGTGACAAATTATTCAATTGCTCAATGGTGATTAAACATAGCCCAATTATGGCCTACTGACGACTTCACTTCCTGTTAACAGTGGCGCCCTCTAGGCCATCCTCCATGACAGATGAGGGACCCCACTATCCTGTCATTTCTAACGTCAAGCGTGCTAGTAATAGGGCAAAGCTCTGTAACACCTCCTAATCTTTTTCATCCCCCACACCCTCCCCCTTCATCCCTCTCTCTGTACTTCCACAGCCTGCAGTGAACACCATCTTAATGATTTAGCAATTTGACTAGGCTTAGTGTAAAAGTCGTCCACATAACAAATCAAGAGAGCATTTTTTTATTATCATAATTACTTTTTCTTCTTCAAAATAACTTGATGATTTTTTAACTGCCCCTGAAACATCATTAGTGTATCTAATTAATTTAGTTTTGTGGGATTGCCTACTCATGTTGGTCAAGTAGGATCACTTAGCCATACACCAGTCATTTTATATTAGCTTAACATACTGACCCACAATGAACACAGCATCCATAAGTGACAGTCATGCCATACTGTCCTTGTCTTAAAAGAACATGGTCAATAATTGTAACTTAAATGTAAAATCACTTCAGGGTAAAAAAAATGATTTCCTTGTATATATTTTTTTTAGTTTTTTGTTCTGACATGTATGTATAAATCTATTGTATTTTTCTGCTACATGTTTGTATAATGAGAGTTTACCTAAACCTATCTATCATCATGCAGCTTGCTGACGGAGAAGAGGTTGGGCACTATAATGACAAGTATGTATTTCAGAATTTTGGCCACAAGGTTTCTTGTTTTTGGTATGTGTGACATAAACGGAGCGGACACAGGTATCAAAGACTTGGAACTGAGATTTTACTGTATGTGCATATGAAAGGATCTTAAATCAACATTTATTTACCGTATTTATTTGTAAGGTTTTTTTTTATCCATGAGCTTCAATATGTTAGATTTTCACCTGACAATTATTCTTCAAACTAAAGCAGAGGTAGACTTGTTGTTTTGTTCAATTGATATCACAAATCAGCAGGGACTGTGTCAATGTGAGTGACTCAAGAAGCTCCTCCCCTACTCAAGTTCTATGTATAAAAGTTGACCTTGACCATTGAAACTCCGGGAACATACATATATATATATATATTGTGTCAATGCACTGTCTTTTCATAGGAGGAAATTTAAAGAACTCTGAAATTTTAAATTCTGAATATTTGTCAGGTTCCACAAAAAATAAAAGTGTAAAGTGGGAGATAGCGATTCTAAAAGACTCTAAAAATTATGTTATGTATTTCAATTTTTCCTTCATAATATTTCTAGGTTTACTGAATGACAATATTTGAGGTGAGCTTACTAGAAGGCGTTGGCTTATTAGAAGTAAAATATCAGTGTATGAGGACTTTGTAAGCTGTGTGGTGGGTGTGGAAGAGTAGGTAAAAGGAGTATGAATTTCAACAAATGGACACAAATGCCTCAACAACAAGGCAGCTGTAACAACTTTGTTGCAATCTCTTTAAATACAATTTCTCTCGAGGAGATAACCCACCACTTCATTATCAGGGTGAAAGTAAAGATACACTTAATCAAGATTTGAGCTAATCAGACAGGCTTTTTATAGTCATCCCAGTTAGATACCGTTACAAGTGCCAATTAAAGCTGAATCACACCGCCAATTCAACACACCTATCTCAAGATGCCGCTGTACTTTGAACTCTTTTGTGAAGGAGGTGTGTTTGATAGTGTTGTTGCAATAATACTTAATAGTACATTGGTGAACTTAATTCAAAGTATGAGAGTAGACTTATTCTTGTCTAGAATATTGGGAAAGGCCACTTTTGCCAGTTTGGAAAATTTAATGCCATATTAGAGTATGTCTCAAAGTCAATACTAATGCATTCCTTAAAGTAAGTAACTCATGTTTTCCTCAAACTATTTTTCTGGAAAGTCTTCTGATTCGTAAGATTCATCAAGTGTAGTGTATTTTACCAGTATTATCCCCATGGGGCCAACACAAAATCTGTGACAAAACCAGGGAGGTGAGCTTCAAGATGTAGCATTTCTTGGTAAGTGTTTCTAGTCAACAGATCAGTGGGGGGGGGGGGAGCTAATTAACAGTCAAGGGTTTAATTCTAATTACATTCATTAATAACAGCATCTACCATACTACATTTACATTGTACATATATCATTATGTAATGGTAAACATAACTATTATAATGTTATGATATATTTGTACTTTTTACTGTTAAATCCAATAACAGTACAGCACAGTGTATTGAAGAATGTATTGTGCAGTGTAAATACAGGATCAGCCTATAATATATTTACTGTATGTGTGGTTTGTTTTATATCTGTAAACTATGTCAAGTTATTTCACAACAAAAGATTCAAATAGACCTGGGAATAACAAATTAGACAATTTCTATTCCACAGTTAACAACAAACTAAGAACCCTTCTGTCTGTGTTATCCACAACATGTTTACAAAATATTGTCACTTACCGTCTGTGGTGCCATTGGTTGAGAGGGTGGAACTCTCTAGTCCTGGGGTAGAACTTAGAGGTGAACTACGACTGCTGTCTAAGTGTGCTCCAGAATCCACAGAAAGAGGTTGTAATTCTATAATCCTGAAATGTAAAAGACCGTCACAACAATTAAACAAAACCAAACATACCCAATGTATGTAAGTTTCACTTAAACATGTTGTACTACTACGGAAGGTTGAAACGTAGACCCGGACATTTCTGTATGTAAATATCAGTGTGCTGTTGGTGAATAAAAATTCTGTAAGACCCATCCGACTATTGTAGCCAATTTTTTAGGGGGTTAAAATCGTTGAATAGAGAGAATTGATCAATTTTCTAGATAAAGGCTTATTTATTCCTGTCCACTCAGTGAACCAGAACTGAACAACACGCAACTAGTAATCTCTCATCGCAATTCACGCCACTCAATAAACAATTTCAAAAGATTTTATCGTGCCGTAATTTTTATGCATTTTTTCGGTAAACTGTCCACTGCATTTTTTTTTACCTTGTTTCTGACGGAGGTTTCCACAAATATGTACAAGTCATTATACATTTTCCGTCTCATTAAATCTTATCGTAATACTTTTTTTAATGGTCCTGTTTTCACATGATGTTCCTTTTCTTTTGTTTCCTTTTCAGTATAAAGAAGACTGAACTAAACTATGAATTCAATTTTCTGGTGTGTAGTTTTGAATATGAAAATACCAAAATTATGACATTTAGACAACAACAAAAGTATAAATATTTGTTCCCTTTTCTCACACATACACTTTTATAAATAGTCCCTCCCCACCCCCTCACACATACACTTTTATAAATAGTCCCCCCCCACCCCACCCCACCCCCAAACCACTACACACACACACCTGCCTAAATACACATCCACATCCAAAGGATAATATGTATATGTGGAACTAGAAATGTGTATGTACAAAAACACATCTACGAGATTTTTTTTAAATAGACATCTTGTTTACATACACACAATGTTGATTGTGTATTTAGTTGTGAAACATACCTACATGCACCCAGATCCAATACCTAACTAATACCACAAAAAAGTTTTTAAAAAATTGACATGCAGACTTTTTTTACAGCTAGTGATGTCACACTTAATTCAAAAAGGGTTCTAGATATTATGTGCAAACTATCCAGCAAATATTTTTCATTAAATATCAGATTTATGTAAAATACACAGGAATGAAATTTGCATCCAGTCAACCCGTATGTATGTGTGTGAGGTGTTGATTCACGGAGTAGATTCAGAATAATACCCCCTTCCCCTCATCATTATAGCTCTGTTTCATACCAGAACCTCCCCCTTCTCCTCAACTGTTTCCCCAACAAGACTTCATACCCTTATACAAGCCTCCCGTTACCTCAAGTAAAGATGGATGACGACAACACAAGCCCTTATCATTAATTGTCACAGCAGCAGTTTGAATTGACAAGTTGTCATAGTTACAACTCATGAATATTCATAACTATTCAATAATACCCACAATGCAATCAAACTTTTGAAAGATGTTTCAACAGAAAAATAGTATGATTTTACATTAAAAACATTTATTTGACCAGTACATGTTCATAAAATTTTCCTATGAAAAAACCATACTCAGATTTTCAAAGTTTTTGTAATAACTTATCTTTGTGTTTTCCTTCATATATCTTTTCTTTTTTTTTTGTAAATCTCGCAAGTAATTGGCAACCATTCATCTTAATAAAAGACTTGACCTCCACCCAAAATTGTGTCTACGATCGCCAAAACGCAGACAGAGACCGATAATAGAGTTACCAAGCGAAGTTATGTTCAGTAGAAATAGTATTATCAGAATTGTTTCATATCTTAGTAAAACATATGAAATGTTAATTGACAAGACTACATGTTTATGTTATTAGTCTATACGTATTGTAGGGGTCATTTTTTTTGACATTTGACAAGGTCATTACATCAATGTCCTCGTGCTAGGTCAACTGTATACTATTATTAACAATAGGGTAATGATAAAAATCTAAATGCCATTTTTCAGTTATCTTTGTGGATGTAATACTTTCCTGATGTAATTGCGATTACTTTCACTGAATGGGCAAATTAAAACGGATTAGATAAAAAGGAACAGAAATGTGCTGCTACCTTAGACCCTCTACTGACGCTCAATGAAATATGACAAGTGTTCTGCAAAATGCTTTCTCATCTACGGCTACAATAATTTTCATGTCAGAATCCATTACTTCAGACTATCAACAACTGCAGAGGAATACGTCGCGGAGCCTGGGAGCGACCTCCCTCAAGCCTAACCGCCAGGCGAGGCTACGGTATATGGAGGCAAATATTGATTAGGACATTTCGAGGAAATCACAATTTATAACGTAGAGAAATTTATTATCCAGCTAGAGGTCATGGAAGAGATTAAGGGGATTTTGATTTCTGCTATCAGTAATAATCGGGACTAATCGACAAAAATGACCATCTTGACGGAGGAAGCCATCAAACAGCCCTAGGAGATAGCGACCATTTGGCAACATCTAATCAGTCAAATTAAAACCAAGTTTAATTGTTTTCCCATAAATGGCTGGTCTTTACATCCATAAAAGCCCTCGACCTACAGAATTATTTCCAAATAATATCGCTCCTCTACAACAATGAAATGTCTATGTATTTTTTCTTTCAGTTTTGTCATTGCGTCGCCCACCTTCGTCAGTCTTTATCCGTGACATGTAAAAACATCATCATCCTGATAACGTTGATTTACTTATATCACAAAAATTTTCATATCACCAAATACATTTCAGTTTCTTTATATTCTCTCATGTTTCAGTTTTTTTAATAAGAGAATGCAATAACAGTCACGGCCATATATTGTATAAAGTAATATATGTTCTCCCAGACGTATATTGAACAGAGTTGGTACATATGAAGTTTCGACATTTAAAGAAAAAACATTCTAGTTGTTTGGTATGACTCATGATCATTATTATAAAGAAATGATTAAATGTAAATATGCTTCCATGCCTATTACTCCGCCCCTTATAATAACAAGAAAATACTTTCCAAATATATTGTAGTGAAAATCTTAAAGAGACAGAATATGATCATTCATGGACAATACAGATTTCATTTACTGGAATTAATGAATATTCGACTATTCAAATTGGCATTTACCCAAACATTTTAAAAACTAGTCTGAAAATAATATGACAGAACCCTTTTTTTTTTAAAAAGATGTGGCCTTTTTTTCAATCTAAAATCCTGATGTGTAATATTTATTTTCTCACAGAAGTTACTGCTATAGACATTACTGAAAATGTAATGACATATAATGTAAATTCTATAACAACAAATCTACCCACTAAATACAAATTTAACTTATCCTCGTACTTCCCATCACGTAGCCTGTCAAATTCGTATAGCGTTAGTTGCCGATTCCAAATAAGATGTTTGATCGGGAGAAACAATTGATGATGGCCATGTTTGATTCATAAGTGCCCACTGATTAAATACCTCCCTGTCCCCTCCAGGCAAAAAAATCATGTCAGGAGTATGAGTCGAGATTAACTGAAAATGTAATGACAGTCCCACTCAACAGCAGAAACTTTGGAGTGTTTTTTCACATTCAGTAACAGGTGGTTCTAGTATGTGTTCTTGTTTACAGGTCTGGGCAGTTTTGGTACAAGTTCACAGGTTTGGCTATCTGTTCAAAAGAGGATGAACTTGGAAGACAAGTTCACAACCATGGGTTTGCATGTTGGTAGTTTGGGTATGAGATTTGTGTACACATTCAAGTCTAGAGGAGACTGATTTGGGTACAAGCAAGTTATAAAGTACAGGCACATATTCACTAGCCAATAGTTTGGGTACAAGTAGTCAGTTCAAATCAACAAAACACAAACTTAGATTTACATTTGAGGTAGGGTCTCTTTGAAGTAGCTGGTTGCTGCTACACTGAACACAATACTGAAGGCCTATCACATGCCACACAGCAAATAGCTTTCTTGTCCGAGGACACGACTAAGTCACGTTGTGTCGAACCACACACCTCTGATCCGATTCACCTGAGACTACATGAGTCAATGCACTAGCACACTGCGCTACTGCAGCTCCTTCCACTATCAATTTGGTCCAAGCAATCATAAATTTGGGCAAAGGCAAAATGGGTTTAAAATGAATTTAAACTGAAACCAAACACATTAACATTACTTGTGAAATACACTAAATTTAAATCAAAATACAAAGAACGATATTGATTTTCTAAAAAGGTTCTTGCATGTTTATGATGAAAATCGATAGAGATGTCATATTTATAACAACATTAAATATTCTTTATTGAAGTTATCCCCGTCACATTGGAAATTTCATTTAAATAACAACATCAATAAATATCAGCTCTATAAAATATCTCTGGAGAGAACTACTTTTCATTCAAACCTGAACTATCTTTGTTGTCTAATTGGATGAAGTGTGCTGATGAATTCTGTTGGTAAACTTTGAAAATAAGCTTACAAGTATTTAGAAGGACAATAAACGATGTTAGACTAAAGTATACACCTTGGGGACTTCCTCTACATACAAATCATTACAATCAATCTCCAACGACCAAAAACATGTATCCAAACTTGTTGTGCGAGCTACCTGGCCACATATTTAAAACTGAATTATCAGGAAAGCGAATATTTTTTCTAAAACAAGGTAAATATCTCTCTTTATTGTAAACATTAACCTTCTTGAAAATCTGTCCTTCTTATTTAAAATTGAAATATAAATTCTATTTATTGAAAAAAAAAAATATTTATAACTTGAAGTTGTATTTCATTCATAATTTAAGTATTTTTCAAGAATAAAATGAATGTTTGCTTTACATTAATTCTAGTAAATAGTGACTGAAGATAATATTTTATCTTTAATGATCTTTTTTTAAAAAAAATTGTCTTTAGAACTAATATCATTATAATATGATCTTGACAAAGCATATTGAATCCTAGTTAAGAGATATCAATACATGGATATATGGGAAAACCTTATAGATGTTGTCAAATATCATGTATACTTAACACAAGGTTTCAGAAAGGCTCCTAGCAGTAAAACAGATCTCTCTTCAAAT